CGGGGCTGGTGGGGCATTGGTGACTCATTAACCTGCTCCCAGGGCTCCCACTGCGCTGGCCAGAGCCTGGTGCAGTGAGGTCACTCAGAGGGGTCACTCAGAGGGTCACTCGCAGGGTCACTCGCAGGGTTGCTTCAAGGTCATTCACAGGTGACCGGGCAAGGGGATGGTGGCTTCCCGCTGCCAGTGTCACTCCAGGATCATACCCATCCCTGTTCCATGTGGGAATCACCCCCCCAGCTGCCCCAGCCCCTCACCCCAGCGCCAGGTTGGGTGCTGGTGATGTGACTGGAGAGTGGGACTCGATGGCCCCTGTGGGTCCCTTCCACCTCAGAATGTCCTGTGATTCTGACTCTGTGCCCTTCACTGTGGTGGCACCAGCCGGAGGTGGCCAAGATGTGACCCTGTCCAGGCACCTCCCCAGGGCTGTGGCTGCCCGGTGCAGCACCCTGGGGTCCCATCCTGCCCTGCTGGGCGCTGTGGGGCCGGGTTGTGCACAGTGTCCCCCATGTGCAGCAGCTGCATCAGGTTGACCCCCCTCCCCCTGCGAGGGGCCAACACGCCCTACCCTTCAGGGAAGAGGCTTCCAGGGCAGCCCCAGGTCTGGGATGGCCCTTCCCGGCCCTGCCACGCTGACGTGGGAATTTTGGCTCGTGCCGGTTCCCGCAAGTCCTTCCAGGATGATCCCTTGGGCCGGTGCCAGCTGGATCGGCTCCTGTCTGGCACGGGCTGGATGGGCCAGGGAGGCACCTACTCTCCCCCCAGCCCTAGGCAGGGTGACCCTGGGGCAGTGCCGAGCTGGGGGGACTCACTCTGTGCCCCTGACCCCTGGCAGGGTCCCATCCCTGTCCTCCTGGGGGCTGTGGGGACAGGGATGGGGACAGGGAACCCCATTCCTGCATGTTGCAGACCTTGGTGGGCATGAGGATGGGCCACACACCCGGTGGGGTACAGCCCATGGGCTACACTTCGTGGGGTGCAGTTTGTGGGGCGCAGCCACAGCACCAGCCCCGAGAGCTGCTCCCACCTCCAGCTGGGAAACGAACCCCCATCAGCTGCAGCCAACCCGTGGGCACAAAACAGAGCCAGCTGTTCCCTCTGGAACCTAAGGCTGACCTCCCCTCAGAACCTGTGAGCACCAAGTGTTCTGCCCTCGGACTGCGTGAGAGGACCGTGGCAGTGGGGACTGTTTGTGGGATTTTGGGAAGCAACAGCCCCTCCCAGCTTTGCCTGTGCCCTCCCAGGAGTCAGGGGAAGCTGGTGGCCATGGAGGGACCCGGTGTGGTCCCCCTGGACTGCAGGGACCCCGAGGGCCCACAGGATCACCCCGGAGCGGATCTGCCCTCTCAGCAGGTTGGTGCTTTCAGGAATTGTGGAGGGGGGGGGGGTGAATCAGCGCCTGGTGGGGCCCAAAGCCCCCGTCAGCTTTCCAAGGAAGGAAGTGGTTTCGGACTCGAAACTTGTGGGTGTTGGGGGGTGGGGGGTGGAGCTGGGGCAGCACAATCCCCCACATGGGCCTTGAGCTGCCCAGCCCGGCCCTAGGGACTGTCCTGGGCACTCGCCCCGCTGTTTCAGCCTCGTGGCCACCCTTCCTCTTCACGTGGCCCAAGCTGGGAATCCTCGTCCCCTTTCCCCTGCCAACACGTCAGCGCTCCTGGGGTGTCCCTGAGTCCCCAGAGCCAGCCCTGGCTGTCCCCTTTAGCTGGGCTCTCGCCTTCCCTGGTCTCCCCCAGGGGCCCCTGGAGCAGGGATGGGCCGGGGCAGCCGCACACTTGACCCTCAGCCCTGGCCCCTGTCCCGGCATGGGCGTGCTGGGGAATTCCCGGATTTTCCCAGAGGACTGATCCCAGATACCGGCAGGATCCACCTGGGGTGGCTACACATCCCCTGT